TATCCTATTCGCTATCAATACTCTTAAATCTATCTTTATATCTATACTATCTATCATATCCTATCCTTTAGTCTATCTATCTATGTGGTTCTATCTATCAGTACTGCTTATATATCGCATATTCCGTATCTATCTATCTATCTATCTATCTATCTCTCTTTCTCTCTCTCTCTCTCTCTCGCTCGCTCTCTATCTATATATCTATCTCTATCAATCTATATCAATCTATATCGGTAATGAAAAAACTCTCGCTCGCTTGATCTCTCTGTCACCATCCTCCTCAATCTCACACCTCAATTTAGCCCTTTATGCTTATCATTGATTTAACTCGATTATATTAGTATGCCCAATAAGATCTTACAAATCCCTTTCGCCAGCCCTCAACGTCAGGTCTTATGAAAGTTTCCTAATAAACCTCTTCCGACTGAAGAACTAGCTTCGGTATATTAACTCACAACTAGTAAAGTGTCCGTCGTGAAATACTCGAATCAATAAAACGAGAAATTCGTTAATTAACCGGAAGGAAGGAACGGAAAGGAAGTAATTAACCGCCATGTTACGCCATCAACGCCCGCGGTCTGTCATAAATTAATGTCGAATCAAAAACGAATCGCTGCCAAGTGTCTCGGTTACGTTACGTGAACCTTACACCAGAGTTATAAATAGATCTTGAATTTACCACGGGCTCCGTGTACATATAGGGCCCTCGCAGCCTCGCTAACATCGGCACACGAGGGAGAGTCACGTTGTCACTTCATAACTATTTTCGTCTGACATTTGGCCTCGTTTTGTCGCACGTTTTTCAACGCTCGCTAAAACATCGCCATGTACACAATTGCGCGATTTTCCGCGATTGGACGCAGCGAGACATTTTTCAAACTTTCAACCAATGAGAGTTTAGTTTACAAAGCCTCCTTGAAACGCTGTCTTCCCGGATTCTCGTATAAAAGCAGCGATCCGGACTGAATCCGGCAGATCTTCTCGGGCAAACGTAAGTAGAACACGATTCTCTTCTAGTCTTTGCTAGTTCTGCATTAACGCGCTCTTCCAACTGACTCGGTTTCTGAATCACCTAGCTATGTAACATCTAAAATCTACCGCAGTGAAGCTGAATTTCAATATAACCATAGTTAA